AGGTAATTAAGCCAAGAGGAGGAAATACGCGATATTGAAATGGTAATTAAAAATCTAAAACAAAATTAAAACAAATTTTATCAGTCGGTCTTTAATTATTTTGTTTTATTTCTCATTTTCTTTAGCAATTTACACTTTTTTACTTTTTTAGACAAAGACTCAATTATTAAACGTTAAAAAACGTGAAACTTTGTTTTATATATAAAAANATATGTATTATAAGTGGGTGGAATTTTTTGCCTGTCAGTGTATATCTGCAGCCTGATCTTTTTAGAAATTCATTCGTCATTGGAAAAAATATAACATTGTAAAAAGGAAAGATATATATAAACACATATTTAAAAGTGAGTGAGAGTGTGAGAGGGTATGGAATTAGGAACAGAATGCGTTGGATGCTGAAATGACTTTAGTGTTGTTAACACCCGAAGTCCAACGTCGGTGGCTGAACGGATTAAGCCGTGGTCTGACCCCGGACTGCCTACACCGGGGTGGGTAATTCGTGAGGCTTGCCGGTAATTCATTGTAAGTCCTTGCCGGTGGACTGCGTGAAGTACATGCATATTTAAGCTTATGTAAATCAGCAATTCCAGTGGGAGTAGTAGCATATACATATTTTATTTTGTGCTGCAAGGTCGGAGCCGCGCTCTAGCAACCAATCGATACTTAAAACCTACTTCCGAACTTTTTTTTCAGGTGCTCTTCTCATCTCTGCTTCGTACCTAGGATCATTCCAATAGATCTAAAGCTGTTTGGCATACTTCGATTCTGTAGAAATAATTCGGTCCTTTTTTTATTTGTAAAGTTTATATGTACCAATTTTACCTGTTTGTGCATGATTCTCCATTTTTCATCCATATATTTCCGACCAACAGTAAGGTTATACGGCTCTCAGTCATTTTTTTTTCATTTGTTTCTCTTTGCATTTATCATCCTCTGCATTTTTTATCTTCTAGTTTCTAAGATATAGTATTCTACCCTTGCACCCTTCACATATTGTCACATCAGTTTTTACATTCATACAAAAAACAAGCATACTCATGACGAGCTACCGTGGTACTCTATACTCCGATGGTAACCGACTATCAATCATAAAACCTACAGCTAAAACACAGTGCATACCATATACACACTAACCTATTTAGAATTGAAAACATCGCGCGCGTACTACACCAATAACTAAACCTAGATAACAGTCTATCGAGCCTGTTTGCACTCAAATTCATTCAACCAACATTTTTGCTAATAAATTCATCCGTAATTGTAAGACATCAAATATGTGTAGAAATTTCAAAAAATCCTATCCACCGAAAACACTGGGTACCTCAAGGCCAAGAGGTTCAAGCAGATGTTCGCCAAGATCGATTTGGAAATGAACGAAGGAAGGAGGCATCAGACCGACAACCGACTGCAGTAACAGAAATCTGCACATGTTTCACTTCAGAATACGGTGCCACTCTCATTAAAGGCAGAAAATGATGAGCCACCGTTACGTTCCCGATTTGGTTTAGAAAAGCCCAGATAACAGACAAGTTCTGGGGGTGAAAAGATTTCTCTTTTAACTGCTTCTAATAGATTCACAGACGTCGAAACACATTTTGTTTTATCAAGGCAATATAATATTTTACTCGGAAATCAGCTACTTAAATAGTTATGGGTAACAAATTTTCCGAAAGTAAGTAGTTTTAATTTGACAAAAATTTGTAATTTAGAAAGAAACTGTCGTTTATTTCTAACATTAAACTTTTTTCTTAAAAACATTACTTTTCAAATTCCTTTGTCATGCCTGTTGTAAAATATTTACTTACTGATTCTTAATGTTGATTAAAAAATGGGTTGATAATGTTAAGAGAAAAGTGCATTTTTATGCGTGAAAGCCTGACTAACTTTTCTGGAGAGGCAGTATTCACTGGCTGGAACTAAGTTCTAAACACAAATATGCATTTAAAAAATCCAAGGAACGGTAGTATTTTTTTAAAATTATTGACTTAGCTTTCAAGCAATGAACGAAGCAAGTATGAAAAGTATCAATAGTTTGCCAATTTCAAAATATTTTTCTTTGTACTTTTTTGAATTCCTTAGGGATATTAAAAAAATAAATTACATTTGTTATATTTATTATTTATTTATAATTAATTTGTATAACCTTCCAGCACGATATGAAGGTCTACCTTTAGGTTTCTCGTATCCTCCAATTTCCTGCTTTGCTTTGGTGATTTTGGTGATTTTCGTGCTTTTAGGCGGACTATTCGCTAAGGATTTCCATTTTTTTTATCCTTCCATCTAAGAACTTCAGAACAATATTCCCGTAGAGCAGACAATGATTTTGACAACTTAATTTTGTTTTGCTTAAAACATGCTTAAATATGCTTTTCTGCATCTAATGTGTGCTTGGAAAGAAAAAATATTTCTAAGAAAAAAAAAGTTCCTCAACTGTTGGCTTAAACTCATACTCGCTTCGTCCGCCTATGAAAGCTGAAGCACAATACTTTTTAAAAATACTTCTAGTGGTCGAATTCTTTTCTTAAAACCACCATTAGTTCGATAAAAGCGCAAAAATCATCTTAAGAGCCTGGGAATTATAAACATTTTTTAAATTATACAAATACATGTAAGATGTGAAAAAATGAATTTATACAACCAGAGAAATTTTAGATTCAACCAAAGTATTTGTACTCACTCAAAGTGTTTGTTTTCTTTGTAGATGTGTCATTACTGTGTGTCGGGTTGAGAGTGCCAGTGAGATATTAATGTTTTTTGTCTATATATGTTGGATTTTGAAGGAGTGAGGAAGAAAGTAGGATAGGTCATAGAAAAATGGATTGATTTCCCTACTTTTTTTTAAGGAAAAAGACTCAATTTATTTTTATATTTTCCTTGCGCCCTTGAATTCTTAGGATTACCCTTAGGCTAAATTTCTCCAGCTGCATAAAATGAACGCAGCCATTAGATTTAGTCGTGCCTTTGTCGGGTCCTTGATTTCCTCGGAATCTTGGCAAATTCCTTTCCGAACCACTTAAAAAATTGGACTTCGAGCGAATAAGAAATTCAGAAATTCGATAGCCGGCAAAATAGCTCGAAAATCACCAAAGCCACCAAAGTAGAGGCAAAAACTTTAAAAGCCTTAATTGTTGACGTAAAGACGTTTCAATAGAATTGTGAGCTCTCTTCGATGGTTTATGCAACTATCATTATCTCGGTAGAATCACGCTAGAAAACTTCAGGGATCATGTTTTGCCCAACGTAACTCTTTTTGCACGGAATATTCAACGAATATTTCTCATTTCCTTGGAAACAAACCCGGGTAAATTCACTACTGAAACCCTCAAAAAATTATGTCATGGAGGAATAAAAAGCGGAAATCCTTAGCCGAAAAACAGCCAAAAAAGCAGACTACTCATCAAAGCCAAAAACAGCCCTTAAGGTGGCCATTCACGATCGCTCCAAGCAGGCCAAACGGAGCGACGCCATTCCAAAAACCACGTCAATGGCAAAACTGAACTGGTGTGCCCGGCTGTGCCGAATATTCGACCGGTCCAAACTCCATCGCGCCACTCCAAATATCTACGGCGCGACGACGGCATGGCGCGTTCGTGAATGGGAAAACCTGGCGTGGAGGGTGGGGATTTTGGCGCGGTGGCCTGGTCGTGAATGGGAAAACCCTCGTTTTTTTGGCGCAGTCTCCGTCTTTCTGTCACTGAGCAAACATCTCCGTCGTACATTCTCAAAAAGTCAAAAACGTTTATTCTTTATTGGTAATGACATCCAATCGAGATTTTATTGTTGAGGTGATTGAATTGTATGAAAGTTTACCATGTTTATGAAAGTGGTGGACAATGATTATATTACCACGATAGAAATAAAAGAAATTCGATCCTCAACCAGTTGGTCGACGTTTTCAAAACAAAGGATACAAATGCAATGAGAGATGCGGTATTGATAACCCCTAACAATGATCAGAAATCGTAGTAGAGAACTTAAGTTCTTTGTAGTTCATCCCTGTAGCGAGAAATCGTAATGTGGTTGCCAACCTTTCATGTAGTGATGATTTCTCTCATGACTGTCTTTTGTTTTCTAATCAAGGGGGTAACAAGCTGGAGTAAATATAAATAAGACGTTAATCTTTTTTTTGTAAGGTTTTGGTTGAAATGAAAAAATAGTGTCACGAGGGGATTCGAATCCACGACATTCGGCTAAATACGCCGCTGCGCTAACCACTTGAGCTATCCTGACTTCGATAGTTCGATCCACTCGGGCACCAACTCCCCATCTCAACCTACAACCTTTCGAATTTTCTCTCTTTTTGCCATTTTTTGGTGTCGGAGAGGATCGAAGTCACGATAGCTCAAGTGGTAGAGCAGCGGCGTATTTAGCCGAAGGCCATGGATTCAGATCCCGCTCGTGGCACTAGCTTTTTCATTTCAACCAAAACCTTACAAAAAAGATTAAATAATTGAAAGAAGTAATTTGGTCAATAGAACACTAAATATAATGAATAAATAAGACGTTTCATCCATCCTTAAATAGTTCCTCCAATCAGCGGGTTCAAGGGAAAGTTCTTTCATCAAATTGATATGGGTATTACGGCTTCTGTTCAGGAGCCACTACTTACACCATTTTCTCTTCGATTTTTTGCTTTTAATATGTAAATAAACAGAAGGGTAGGAGAGGAGATCGTCATCCATTTTGAGAAGGTAATTCACTGGTTGACGTTCGGAGCGACTGGCTGTGGAGCGGTCGTGAATGCCTCTCAACTTTTAGGCACTCCAAATGGAGCTGTACGGCTTGGCGCGGTTCCATTTGGAGTGATCGTGAATGGCCACCTTTAGAATATGGAAATCTTAATACCAAATAACGTATTTGGCAAGATCTAGTTGCGTAGAGAATAGGCATGAGGAGCTTTTTTATTTACAGTTATGTTTGCACAGCTTAAATTAAAAATATACTTAACAACATAATACAAGAATTAATTAAAAAAATTAATAAATTGTAAGTATACATACCGAGTAGAGATAGAGGTTCGTGTCATATCCAGACGACGTTTCCTTGGTCGAGAAAGCCTGATCATCGTTGCCATCCCCTGAAACAAAACGAAAAAACTAAAGACTAAATAAATATTAATAACCATCCAATTAATTATTCTTTTTATCAAAAGTATTTGGTTGAGGTGAAAAATTACTGTCACGAGCGGGATTCGAATCCACGACCTTCGGCTTAATAAGCCGCTGCTCTAACTACTTGAGCTATCGTGACAAGTGGTAAGAGCAACGGTGGATTGAGCCGAAGGTCGTGGGTTCGAATCCCGCTCGTGACACTAATTTTTCATCTCAATTAAATTCCTTAGATAAAAAGAATAATTGTATGTACTACGAGGGGGCTCACTCTTACTGTTGCGTTCTGACCGTTATAGTGTCGGTTCCACTGTTGTAATCTTTTACAGTAAAACTTCCTTTTTAAAAAGTCTCTTCCGCAGAGCGGTTATTTAACTTGGATTTAAATTAATAACCTTATCGTACAGGAAATCGACACATTACTGGTTAAAACGAGAAGGGTACAAAATGGAATCACGACAATCAGGCAAGAGAAACTACACAAAAAATATCCTTAGATCGACCCTTTTATATGTACGGTAAAATTATATACTTTTTGTGATATAAAAGCGACCTTACTTGAGAGTTCAGATATTGGTAAATAACAAAAAAGTGAAATTACGATGTGAATTTAACGAAATACTTCAACAGTACGTTTTGTTTCTGATTTGTATTGTAAATTNATATATGTATATATAAGGAGTAAGCTAGTTTGTTATGTTCTTATGTCACTGGAGACTTCATGAGTTTGTGGATCCTTTCATCTTGGTAAATAATTTTGTTATCTCCGACCACCATTTTCTCCGCAAGGGACTTTGACTGTTACACTATCAAATGATGCTCCTCCACCCCTAGGAAAACCCATAATATTGGGTTGGATTCTCGGATTGAATCAATTATTCGTAAAACGGCCTAACAACGTAATAGAAATCAATAAAATCACTAAACTAAAAAATATCCAATCATGTTTAAAATATTCGCAACCTGGGTGATTTTTGTTGAATAATGGTTTTGGTATTTCAGATAGCAAAAGGAAATTCCATGAGATTTACGGATCAAAATGAATTGTTCATGAAGATAGTAAAATTCAAAAATTTTATCTGACAGATCCGTCAGACCATGAGACGGTGGAAAAAGAAACAAGTGCTGGAACGTTGGATGTTGAGGAGAAAGCTAGGGTTAGTTGGTTAGGGTTCAGGGATAGCTTGCAATGTTGGAAACGTATTCGGATCAGATCCTCCACGAATGGCATGTCTAGGTCTATGTGATTCTTTAGATTGGTGACATACCTAGATCACCGGATGCGTCACATTTCAGATTGAAAAAATTGGGTTCGTTGGATGTTGGAGGACACAGCTTGGACTCTGACCAAATAGGTATAATGAGTGATATATATGTAAGCGCTTAATTAATTATGTAGGCTTAGCGTAGATCGGTCCTGGTAGGTGTATGAATTGTCTATAGCTTTCGTTGTTCTGGAGTTCTTGTCTTTTTAGTCGTGTATGCGGGGTCTATGTTATCTTCTAAGTAAAGTCCAACGAAGAGGATTTGGAACATGACGTGGCTTAAAGTTACAGGGATTTTGTTTATGCGCACTAGTGGGCTCTGACACTGTCATGATTTTGTTTTCCTTCCCAAGCTCAAGCCTGGATAAAGTCACAGAAAAACGGGTTTCCACTCCTGTTGGCTTTCTCCATGGTTTGGACAGAACTTGTAACCAATCGATTAAGGCCGTCGATTTTCAACTCTCGCTTTCTGTAGGTCCTATTAATAAATGTTCGAAACTACAAGGGTTTTCCCTTTTACCGTGGTCGTTATTTCCCACTCATTTCTTTTATGATATTGTATGAATCACATCTCTGAAGTGAAGCGTTCAATAGTTTGGAAGTTCACTGTTCTTTTGTTCATGAGAATCCGTTGTTTTTTCACCATTTAACATTTTCTTCTCAAATAAATAAGACAGTGAAACGTTCTGTCTGAAGGCCGAAAAGCAAGTATGTATTCAAATCCCTATAAAACATCGGATCAGAATTTCCTTTTCCGATCGGCCTTCGGTGGAGCGCATATTTGCTGACGAGTCTCGGTTTTAACTCAGCTGAAGTGAGCCTAAAGTGCTTCCGCAACCTCTCCCCCTCACAAAGCCCTCGGATTTATGGGAAAGTTATGTGCCCTATATATACAGACTATCAGTAACATAACAAGCCCACCCCCTCGGGTGGTTGTTTGTAGCCGGCGTTAAGTGCCACAAAGGCCTTCAGTGATCGCTGAATTCGTCAAAACCCGGCTGCCTGGTATAAAACTGTAATTTACTTGTTACATATCTAAATATTAAACAAATTGGATAATGGTGTTTGTAAAATTACGGTGTATTGAAATACAAAAAATTGAACTTATTAACATAATCAGATATTAAAAATAAGAAAAAGAAAACAAAAAGAAAGAAAGTATAATTTCAGTAGAAGTCAAAACTTCAAAATAGGCAAAATTTTCATCAATTAAATTGTTTTTAAAACCACTTATCCCAACCGAAGTCTAGCAAATAATTCGCGTTCGCCAAAAGAAAGGCAGTCCTAGGTATGACATAATAACCAAGAACATCTTTCTTAAACTTTCTACCAAATCACTAGCCTCCCTGACAACCTTTGCAATGCCATCCACACATTAACGCACGTCCCCATCTTTCGGAAATTCTGTCATCAGTATGATCTACAAACTGTAGATGCAACCGATCACCCAACCTACTACCGTCCCTTCAGCCTGCTTCCCACCATTGGAAAAGTGCTCGAGAAGAATCTTTCTCGAGGTATGTCGTGCTAATCGAGAAAGATCGCTAAAATTTCCTAAACCCCGACAACCCAGAAGTTATTTAAGAAAAATATTGTTTTTTTGGACCACAAATTCCCAGCAACTGAATTTATTTGGCAATAATATTGTAGGTTTATGCCCGCTTTGTACAATACATTACTCAACTATGCACTATCATCATTACACGATTCAATTTAATTGCACAAACCCGATTGTTGTGCAATAATATTGTACTTGTATGGGCTGCCTCTACTTTTTTTTGAAGCCCCTGTGCGCAATAATATTGGAAATCCATGGGCTGCATTAAACCTTATTCCCCATCACCAGTTCCCATCCTCTGTTATCCCTATGATCCACAAACCTAAAAAAAAAATCAACTGATTATCCAATCTCCACCGTCTCATCAGCCTGCTTCCCAACATTGGAAAAGTGCTCGAATCAAACTACCAACCATTTTAACACTCTTAAACCTCATTCATGCCACAAGTTCCAATCCTTTGTAAATACTCTGACATCCCTATGATCCACAAACTGGTCAGCCTCTCTTCTTCATAATTTCTTTTGCTAATTTCTTCGTACTGGAGAAACCATTTTTGTTGTGTAATGTTCTGCTGAGAGCTTCCATGATTGCATTTTGCTCGTGAATGAGCTTGAGCCAGGATTCTCGAAGATCAGCGTAGAAACTGCACTCCAATAACACGTGGGTACCAGTTTCATTGTCACCGCACAAACATAACGTGGAGTCTTTTAGTGAGAACTCGCCTGAACGCAAAGTCACCATGATCAGTTGGCAGCTGTGTTGTAGAGTGGTCAAGTTCTATGTGCTTTAATCTCTGCCTCCGCTGTATACTTGGAAATATGCTATGCGTCCATTGACCTTTTGTTGTCTCATCGATGTTACCAGCAGTCGTCCATCCAATTGCTTCCTTCTCCGAAGTGCTACGAATGCAGGGTTCTCGTCCGTTCGCTATTTTCCCTTCCTTAAAAGAACCGTCCTGCAGGCTTCCTCAACAATATTACTATACCCACGAAAAACAACGTACATTTCTTAGGATTGCACTTAGAAAAACTTGAACCCACACACTAGACTTAAACGTGTAAACTGTATACAGAGTAAATATAAAATGATCAAACTGCTAGACATCTGTATCAACTTACACTACAGAACAAAAAGGCTGTGTACTGCACTACTTGCACCCATATGAACTTATGGCCTAAAACTTCTTGTCCAATTATGAAAAATGATTCAATTTTTTTGTACTTTTAACTAAGAAAACAGGAGTGAGATTTTTTTCATTCATAATCCGAGGTACATCCCATCTCAAGGGTACGTTGAAAGGGGCGGGGACTATAGGTCCGCACACTATATAGGAACAGCTCTCGGCCGCGTTGGTCGAAGTTTCCCCTCCATCCGACTAGCGCTGCGGTTTAGTGTTGATTTTGCATTTCCAGGAGTCTCCACGCCACAATCGTTGGCTTCGTCATTACAAATATGGCGTCCGAGAGAAGCCGAATATACCCGAACTCAACGAATTCCGACCGCCCCGGCGTACACTAGACGGGTAGCGCGCCGCCCTAGCGACCTAGTGTGCGGGGTTACATTCATTTCAATGTATTCTTCTTGGGGGGGTCGGTTCCGCGCCGCCCCACCGACCTAGTGTGCGCCCAGCTTTATACCTCCGTTTCCCCCAAGACCAGGGGTTTTTCAAGTTTTAAGTGAACGTTAGTAATACTGAGTTAGCATAAAAGACGAATACACAACTGATGGCCTTCCGATTCTTTTAGAAATCCCTCGATAGAGAAAATGGTAGACATTATTATTCGATGTGATTATAATAACAGATCTGGTTGGTAGTTGATTTTTACAAGGTCGATTTCGGTTTCTGTTTGATTTGATGCGTTCTTGTATTGATTTAGCCGGATGTGCATAACTTCAGCACCATAACTGCAGCATGTGGTGCAACTTTCTCTAGGTGGTTAATTGAACAAACCGACGTCAGAAATGAATGTAATAACAAATAAAAAGCAAAAAGGTGACTGATTTATTTAACTTTTAATGAACCAATGATATTTGGAGGTAATTTTCGCTTATTACCGTATCCTGAAATCCTAGGAAACCAACCGCCGCTAGAGTAGATAGTGAGGTGCAGCAACTAGTTCTAGGAAGTCAATCGGATAAAAGCTG